TCGTATTTTGTGTTGACACAATCCGCTATTCGCTTAAATATTGCGCGACATGTGAACGGCCAAACGAGTCGTTTTTCAGCGGGACTCGTGACTCTTTCAGGGTTACGTGAGTGTATTGAGAGGAAATTCGTCACACTCAATGAGTTATGACTTAATAGTAATTATAATGACTTATATTTACCAGCTGCGAGGACAGTTAAAAACCAGAAAACTACGCGCAACAAGCAATGTATATTTAGAACAATTTTTAGTATGACGTCATATAGATTCTAATAAACAATCTATAGAGATAAAATTAAGAGTATCATCATCATTAGCTCACTATACGTGTCCCCACCGAGGGGCTCGGAGCCTACCCTAGGTTAAGGGTGATTAGGCCATAGTCAACCACGCTGGCCAAGTGTCTATTCTTTACAGATATGAGCAGGTTGCATCACGATGTTTTCCTTCACCGTAAGAACGTCAGATAAATGTGAATATGTAAATCGGAAATTGAAAAACACATTAGTACATGGCGGGATTCGAACTCAGGACCTGCAGATTGCAAGTCAAGTGCTTGACCACAGAGCCACCGACGTTCTACAAAATTATGAGTATATTGTAAAAAATTTAATCACAGACATCAAGTAAGTACATCAGTATGTAAATAACGATTTCACACGAGGGCGCGTCAAACCACTTACCTAGTTACGTAGTTAATTAACTATTGTTCATGTTAAAAGTTTTCAAAATCATCAAAAAGTATCAATGCATGCACACTATTCTAGATTTTTTCTTTCATTGATTCATGAAATGGTGACATAAAAATATGTCAGCATTGAAGCCGCAACCGATATAAAGGCGTGAACACAATCGCTCACATCCGTCATCGACGCGTCCTCCCAGATTAACCACAAGATTTATGTCGCACAGTGTGCACACAGCTTTATAATTTATGTCTCACTGCACACGGCAGAATTCAAAATTTTCCAAACTTTTTTAATGGTACTGCGATTGAAATATTGGTTATATGAAAATGTCTCAAGGGAAAGTTGACGACCGCGAAATATTTTAATACATTATTACTTACACGAGAGATTTCAATATGAATACAACAATTGTTAATAAAAATACTTAAATAAAAATATAATAATAATTAAATTAAATATTTCTTAGAAAAAAATGACTGTACAATTAAATTAAATATGAAAAAAAAATCTGGAGACTTCCTTATGCACACAGTCTTAATTCATATTTAATATTGACAGTATTTTGTTCATTATAAATCAAAAGTATTACATTGCTGGTTTATAACAAGCACTTTTACATTTACATCGAACCGTAAAGGTAATGTATTCGATGCATTATGTTTTGCTTCCTCGTTGTTAAATACTTGAACTCGGGCTAAAGACGCAGGCAATAAAGCAAAGATATGAGTGCATTCGGCCGATTAGGGAAATTGGAGCGAACGGCCGCGACTCCCGGAACTGACATG